TCCCAAATATTTTTCTCTCGAACGATAATCCAGTGAAATAGTTGTTCCATTTCTATATTTGAATCGCACGCGCATGTTGCATATCAATTATCCGGTTGCTATCTTTGCGAAAGGAGGCTTCTCGTCTCTTATCCAACGAACGAGATCTCCTCGTGCTCGGTTTCACGGGCATGTTCGAGCACTCTTCTCTCATCCGCATCCGTTCCCTCGGTGGCTCGGTTATCGATATAGTTTATCGCTGACATGGATATCGACGAGACGAGGTATCGATACCCTCAATTACCACCCTTGTCGCCGAATGCGCGGTAAAAGATCGATGTATCATCGGGAGATGTATTTCCTTTTGACCGAAACCGTGCTCCACTTTTATCTCACGCTGAGTGAGAAATTTAATTTTGAATGACAATTTAAAATTAATTTCACAGCCAGACGCTTTGGAAATATATTCTTTTTTTATTCTATGCATTCATCATGAATCCTCTGCTTTTTAGATTCTATTTAGGTGTTTTCTTTCATTTTAAAAAATTGAAATTATTTGGTCCATTAATTTTCAAGGCATCCGTCACACCAACTTTGAACAGTGTTTTGAGAAAAACACGTTAATTGTGCAGGCTTATTTCAAGACTCACGCGTTATCCTATTCAAGGTTTTATAACTTTGTCAATTTTGCGAATTTTTCAATAAAGTGAAACATACATTCTTCGGACATCTTATTTTCAGAAAATGTAAAGAAAAATCGATTCTTCTGGCTCTTTAAAGTAGACTTAAGTTGATTCGATTCCCAAATTCGGTAGCAAATTCGCAGCTAAAGCACATAATTTGGAGTATGATCCTCTGATCTTTTCTAAACGCGTTATAAATTTTTAGCTCCCGATTAGCTCTCTGGAAGATCCTGAGTTATTATTCCTCGCACAGGCGCCTTTCTCGAGATATTATTCGATGCGTGCGAGCGAGCGCGACCAGCGTTAAGCGATAACATCCTAATCTTCTAATCTGCCTCGTTTGTCCCACGAGTGAGAAGCGGAACTCATTGTCGCCACTTGTCGTAGAACGGGTCAAGGGTAAAGTCGGGGGAGCAGAGTCTTTGCGTGTAGGTGAGTGTGGGAGGGAGACGCGCGCGCCAAAGTTCTCTCGATAAGATTCCACAGCGATTCATTCACAGCTGATAGTGTCATCTCGTCCGGTTACAATTTGGAAGATCTCTCTCTCTCTCTCTCTCTCTCTCTCTTTCGATGCGGTTCTCAGAGACGATGTAATCCTTGTTCCTCGATCATATCTCGCGAAGCATGAAAGAAGGGTTCTCTTCTGCAATTAGATTTTCAGAGATCTCTCCTGCAAAGTCGGATGGAACATGTGCGTTTTAGAAACTGCGAATATATGCTATCGGAATCTGCTATGAGAATCGAATAAACTTAAGGAATTGAAGAAACAGCGAGAGAAATCATATTATTAATTTAAAAAGATAGAATTAATAAAGAATTTTATTCTGAAATACGTGAAATTCTTGAAATGTTGGAAATACTTGAGTATACTTCTGAAATTAATATTAAATTGTTATTCACAATTTTTTATATTTTTTTGAATATACGATATCCGAAAAACTTTTAAATTTTATTGAGAAATATGCAAAATTGATGAAGTTAGAAGACTTTGGGATAATGGACTTAGAAATAGATCCGTCAAATTTTAAATGTGTTTCTCTCAAAACACTATTTCCAAAGTTGGTGTGACGGCTATTTTGAAAATTAACGGATCAAATTTTAAAAAGTAGAAAGATCACATCATCAACATAAGATAAAAAAGTAAAATATAAATAAAGAATTTATTTAAAAAAAGCACTTGATTATGAAATATTAACTACATGACGAGACAAGAATAGAGAATACTAGTTGCGATCGAAAGGAAATAATATTTCCTGCGAAAGAGCTATAAAGTTAATGTATTGTTTTAAAAAATATGCAGAGATATATATCTTCTTATCTTAATAATGAGTTTGCCTTGTTCATAATTTATTTTTCTACAATTTAAATTTTATTTACATATTCATTTATATATTTCACTGAATATCCATATTTTTTATACTTGCTTATATAATTGATGCGCAATTTATTTGCAAACTTTTTACTAGGAAGAACATAATATCCTTATCTTTTCCTTCCTTCTTATGGGAGTAAAGAAATAAAAGAGAAGCCATTAAATCATTAAATTAGCCATTTAAATCATCTATAGCGCTGATATTCTTCAAATACACAAGCATCTATACATTTTAAAATTTCCAACTGCAGCTCCTCTTTTATACAAAATTGATATGTCATTGAGAAATATTCATTTTTTAAGAAGTCATTAAAAAGGCTTTATACTATCAATCAATGCAACAGACGAATGTAATTCATATGCACTGTATTATTATTTTTGATGACTACTCTCGTTTGTGGGACACAATATACGAAATTACAATTTACAAAATTCTAATGAGACGCTGTATCGTACAGTTGATACGGTTGATTAAAGTCTTCTCGGTGGATATGAAGTTCATTTCGCTTCAGTATTTCGTCTGCTTCGTTCGAGTAGTTTCGTAGAGAGAAGGAGGAGAAGAGAGAAGGAAGAGTCGCGCTTCTCTCTCTTTCTCTCTCTCTCCGGAAAGAGAGAGAAAGGGAGAAAAAGAAAAAATGGGATATTGAGGAGACGAGACGAGAGGGCGAGCGACGTTTGAACGCCCACGCGTGCCGTCTTAATTACGCTGGACCGGCCGGTTTTACGATTATGCCGCCTCGAAGAGCCCAACCGTCGTGCCATCGGTGCCCGGCTCCTTTTATGGGCCGCGTTAAAAAGTAATTAGGACAGAAAGGCAGCGCGGGAACCGCGATGTCAACGATAACTTTAATGATTATTGTATAAACGTGTGCGACACTCGATGGCTGATAGGATGATAAGAGGATTCGCTAAAGATGGAGAGGAGGATCAAACGATCTTCCAGCTTAGTAAAAATTACAAAACTAAGCCTCGATAACTTGTGCCATGGTAAAAAATTTTTAGCGGACTATTTTTTGACGAAATTTTCTATTTAAAACGTTATGTCTTTAAGAGAGAATTAAAAATTTAGGAACCATCGAGTAAAGCTGACGAGCAGTGAATTATATGTGTATATTCATTGACATCAAATTGATTTATGATATCGATGATAATAATGAAAGAAGAATGGAAGAAGCGATAAAAAATTGAAACACATTAAAGAGGAATAAGCTTAGTAAGATTGATGAAATTGATAATTGGAGATAATAAGAAATATTTTACATTACATTTTCAAAGAAATTCTCACAATTCATTTATGTGTCATAAAATGCATTTAGATTAAAATTGAGTGAAATACAATAATTGCAAAACATTTCAACAAACTTATCATGTGTCAATTCCTCATAAAATGTATGTTTTTATCACAAAGAATTATTTGTTCATAAAAGATTGCGATATATCTCATTAAATAAAATAAAATTGCAAAGAAGAAAAGCTTTATATATTTTAAACGCAATCTACAAAAAAAGAAATAAAATATTAAAACACTTTTATTCTACAAAAATTATTTCACTATAAATGTTTGTCCAAAAATGAGCAAACTTTTTATAATCTAACAATTTTTTTATTTCGGTGGGAAAATAGTAGAGGACTGTCGTTTCGAGAGAAAACGCTTTTATCTTTGCAATTGAACTTTTCGACGAAAGAGCTTTAAAGCTTTTTAACTTTTGGAGCTCTCCATATGTGAATCTTTAGTCCTTTTTCGGTGAAATTACGCTTGTTTGAGGAACATGTTTTTTGAAGAATATGATTTGACAATTTTGTACGTGATCGCAATGTTTCATATGTGACTTACAAAATAACAATCTGCAACTTAAGCTGCTCGAAATATCGCTACTCCCTGTACGTGATCGTTGTGAATGCACCTTAGATTATCTCAGGTTCGTGCACACGTACACGTACAGACACATATATACGTATGCGAGGTTGGCGTGCGGAGAAGAAGACGAGAAAAGTTGCGCTTTTGGCAAGCCACGTTTCGGGCTCTGGACAGCTCAGACAGACATTACATTATAAAAAGACGCGCGTTACTATTTTTCCGGCAAGTCTTGCGAAATCCTAAAACGATGCCGCAGAAATATCATCATCAGCTGTCGTAAAGTGTCTCTACGCTTTAGAAAAATATTCGGGAAAAAGACAGTAATTTCCAAGACAAGTTTTCGAACGCGCGACACAATCTCCTCCAAGATGCAATCGTATGTGTGTGTCTTGATTAACGCGTGAATAACGCACCGTGAACGCGATCGAGTGTAAAAACTGTCACATGTCACCTATTAAATTGTCGAGAAATTGACATCGTTCGAAACGGGAACGAGTCGTTTCGCAGGCGACACTTTCCAACGTGGTTTGCTCTCTTGTGCGAGCCGGTCTTTATGCGTACACGCATAGCCAGGTGTAGCGACATTGACGTGCGGAGTCAGACACCTAGCGAGTGTCCCCGTTCATTATCCGTGAATTTTTTTCCTGTCTAGAATTCGATTCGATCTTTTCCTTAGCTGGAACGAACGAAGTCATTTGGCATATTATTAATGTTCAAGGTTGACTGAAAAAGTCTAGTGAGTTGAAAAAACTATGGTAAACTCGTCAGGTGTTTAGTGTCTCGCGGATTTTATACAATGGAATATAAACGGGCAAAAATGATAAAAATGATTAATATGTAATGCTACAATATATTTATATAAATTTATGCGGAAAGATAATAATTTGTTTTAGTTATTAAATTATATTAATCATTATATACTTTAAAAAACGAAATCAGTATAATATTTTTTTTATTCAAAATTAATAATAGTCTTTAATATTCTAGAATCTATTCTTAAATAATTCAGAGTCCATTAATATTTCGATACCTCTTCATATGATTACTCTCGTAATATTTCCATATGAATATGTGTGAACGATTTCTTGAATCGGGCTTAATGTTTCAGGTGAGAAAGATGTGCGGTCGTGCGGAACTGCTACCTTCGGACGACGTAAACCCAGTGTACTCGAATGCAGCTGCGAAATCGTCCGTGTCACTCGGCAAGGTGCACGCAGCTGCGTCGTCGTCGTTAACGTTCCTCGCGCACGACGACCTGCTGGAGAGACTGCACAAGCAAATAGGTAACTTTATGGCGAGCTTCGAGACGTCCCGCTTCTTCTACATGATGCTAGCGGACACGATCTGCGAGGAATACCCCCGCAAACATTGCTGGAACGGCGAACGCATCGGAGAGTGAGTGCACAATCTTTTTCATAATTCCTTACTCGAGATTTGTCTTCTTAAAAGGATAGGAGAGATTAATACTCAAGCTTAAGCTCCGGGATCGTAGGATCTATGCGCAAATTTGCAAAGGCGTTAAATTATATCAAGAATTAATAAGACTTAACTTTGATAAATATGTAAATTTACTCTCCAAGTACGTTATCGTGTCAGGTACAGAGCCAACTTTTGTAATAGAAGAATAATTCGTCGATTTAGTGCGCGTCATCTTCAATATTTTAAACCACTGGGAAAATAAAAGAGATAATCTGATATCAAAGTTTCTCTATAAACGTACAATCTGAGATGTCTTCTTTAGTAAAGCTAATTAAAGCTATTTTAAAAAAATTTAAACGAATTAATTAGTCAAAAAATTTTTTTAATTTTGTAGAATGCAATGATTTATAGCACAAGGAGATTATTTTACAAAACATAATTAAATAAGAATATGATTAAATGATTAAATTAAATAATTAAATTAAATAATTAAATGAAATGATTAATCGTAATTAAATAATAATATAATAAATAAAAATAAAAATATAATTAAATATAATTAAATATATTTGAATATATAATAAAATATAATAAAATATATGACACTTTTCCGAATAAACAAGCCTGCAGCGTTACAAAAGAGCTGATGCAACAAGAGAAAAATAATAAAACGCCGAGGGGGAGAAAGATAGAGGGAAGAATCGGCCGAATGAACGATGGAGAATAAATGGGCGCGATTCGTTAATCGAAACTGCCGTCGCTCAAAATCCCGAGCCGCCGCGGAATGCGTGGGAACGATCGTGACGCGAAAGCGGGAACGACGAGGAGCAACTCGAAGAGAATGGAACGCGAAGGTAGTTCTCTCGCACCCTTATTAATCAACGGCCGGGTGGCCTCGTCCTAAAGCGCCCCTCACACCGGGCTTCTCTCTTCTCTCTTCCCTCCTTTTCGCGACAGAGTCTACTCAGAGTCCGATCAGCTGATCGATTTTCCCGATTTGACCGATCGACTCCAATCGAAACGCTACTCGATTAATTCCGCCTCGGCGACGAACGGAGACAGAAGCCAGCTGATAGTGGCGATTCAAGAGGAGAGGGAGGGGAGGCGAGGCGTTTCCGCCTTTATCAACCATTGTCCGCAGCTGATGTTCGAGATGCTGCCACTCGACCGTGAAATGAGAGTAGCATTGAAACGGGATACTCGGTCGAGTGATAATATATAGGTGATCGCGCGGAAGATAATTCGAAAGATAATCGAACGTCGAGTATCAGAGTACGTTTAAATGAAATTTTCCAAATGTTATCTTTCTGCCAAGGAATAATTGATCAATTTAATTAGCGTTTCTCTTCAATGTTTTAATAACGATAACTCGGTGTAAAAATCGAGAAATTTTATATAAAATGTGACAAATTAACGCAAGAATTATTTTACAAAAAATATCTGATAAGATGCACAATTAATATATTAATTTATTTTACAAAAATAGAAATGATATATTTATCAAATATATAATTAAATATATACATGGCACTTTTTCCCGAGTAAACAAGAATGCTGCGTTACAAGAGGAAAGTTCTAAATTGCCGCGAGGTGTTTACACCCGGAAATAAAACGTCTCGTTTCATGCGACAGAGAGGTGAAGTCTCCGACAAACGTCACCCCTCGCACACTTGTCGCTCGACATTTTTTCCCCTCGCGCATATTTCACCGCTCTTTGTATTCCGCGCGAGGCGGAAGGCCTCGTGTAAACATCGCATCACGAGCGAGCGAGCGAACGAGATACGCGGAGGAATCTCGCGCGGATGCGTGCAATTTTTACGGAAAATTCTCCGTAAAGTCCCTCGTCGCAGCTGCAGAGGCGGCCATCGCGGAAGAGAGGCCGCCGATCAAGTATTCCCGGCAGACGCGGCTGCTAAATCTCTCTCGAGAAATCCCGGTTTACCCCGCGACTCTAGACGAAGGCAAAGTTCCGCGCGGTCACCACTTCGCTATTCACAGACGCACACAAAGCTTATAAATACACCGTCGCGTGCCGCGGCTTCCACCGGAAGAGCCCTCTCTCTCTCTCTCTCTCTCTCTCTCGCACGCCTCTCAAGCATCGTACTGGGGACTGGGGTTTAGTATCTTACGATGGAAATCTAAATGAGATTCGATCCGTCGAGGAAGCCGTCGCGATTCCGCACGATTTCGATCCGCGGTGGAAAGTGAAACCGGCTGCTCTCTCCCTCGATCTCCTTCGCTTGGCGCTCGCCAATTCGGGTAATTCGAGCCTCCACGAGGGGTCGATTGAAAAAGCCTCTCGTATTTAGGGGCTGCCCGGAATTAATTTGCGTTACGTAATGATGAATTTAATTAACCTTGAGCGGTTACGCGGATATGAATTGAATCGAGATGCGATAATACATCATTTTAATTGCTCTTCTTCTCGATCTGACGATCGTCGCGGATATAAGGGTAATTTACATAAATGCGCTATTTAAAATATTCAGTATCATCGTCAATATATATTCATTATCATCAATATTCAATATCATCGTCAGAAAAATGCGTAATTATATTCATATTTGTGATTTTTTAAATAAACGGATTTGCATAAAGAACGATGACGAATGTCAAGGAAATTGATTCTCATCGATATTTTAACAATATCATATTCCAGAGGTCTCTTAATCGATAAAAAATTGTTTGAAATTTATTTTCTAAATTTGTCGTATGATAATTTTCTTCAGATATTAAGGAATATGTATAAACCTTTGTAGATTTTCTCAAGCACTTTTTAAGCGCTTTTAAAACTACAACAAGGCATTGTAATCCATATATGATATGATACGGAGCAAAAAAAATGTATGACTTACGACAGTTAAAATATAATTTAAATTTTCAATTAAATAAAATATCATACATAAAATACGATTCGGAATAGCTTATCGATCGATGCCGATCGTCTTTACAGCACGCTATATATATACCGTAACGCGGCATTTTCATCTCGAAACTTTGAACAGAAAGAAATAGGAACGAGAAAGTTTAGAGAGAGAAAAAAATAATAAATAAAACTTGGTCGCTTGCTTTATTTGTTCGAAACATCTTCGCAAAGACGATGTCGTTGGAAACTGTATTGAATAGGGAGACAGCCGAGGAATCGCAAGAAAGAAAGAGAAAGAGAGAGAGAGAGACAGAGATCAATGCTAAGAGGAAGAGAATGATGAAGAGGCGATGGCGGGGTGTGGTGGTAGGGGAGCGGAGGGGAGGAGGGGGCTGACGAGGAGAGGAAACGGCGTAGCCTGTAGGACGCCAAGCCGCCAAAGAGTCTGGCAACGAGAGCAAACGGGCGCCGTAACGTCGCCGGGTACCTGACGGCCCGCGTGTGAGTGCGGATACACCGTACGTACGTGGATAATGTCACACACGTTTACACGCATGCGGGTGTGCGTACGCTCGCGGATGCGTCGACTGAGCGACGACGCAGCCAAACATCTCAGCCACGAGGTCACGATGTCGCAAGATCATCCGCCCTGCTATTTCTCGCCGCTTTGCTGCCGCTTGACTGCCCCGCCGAGTTGAACGAGCCACATTTCGTCGCATTGCGCGAGATTAGCCTTGATTTTGCACGAGATAATTAAGGGGTAGGCGTTGGACCGCGCGCGTGTGGGACGTTTGAGGGACTTGTAAAATGTCTCTGGCACCGCCAAGTGTTTTTCAAATATACAAAGCTTGTTAGACACGGAGTGTATTTCCAGGAGGAACCTGGTATTCTCAGGGATTTTTGTCCTACTTTGAAAATCAGATTCCCGTGGAATTTTATTGGGAAATTTGATAAAAAATTTTGTTTTCCAATGTTTACATTAGCCCAGATTTAATTTTGAAAGATTGTTTAAGTAGCTTAAGAGAACTTGAGAGAAATCCATCTTTCGCAATATTTATTAAATTTTAGAATCTTGTACAATATGATGTTATTAATTTAAATTTTTTAATCAACATCTCTTGTACAAATTTTTATTATTTTATATTAAAAATATTGTTCTTATATATTTAAGTAATACATCATGTTATTATTCTTGATGGTTTATAATATTTTTGGAGTTTAGATAAAATATTTTGTTGTCCAAGTTTTATGATTATTTAACTAGTATCAAATATTAATTCTTTAGAATCTTTATTTTTTATTTGATACATAAATAATTATTTTAAAACATATTTATAAAAAATATGAAGTTTTATAGATCCGAAATATATTTTACTTACGTTAAAAAATCGCGCACAATAAACAAACTTTTATTTAAAAATTGCATCTAAAAATACTTTAATTCTATTTGATATTTTAAACAGAAATATCTGGAAAATAATTTCCGTGAAATTCCCCCACGGGGAATTTATTTACAAGATTCGAGTATACACTCTGTTCTAAATGTGAGAAAATTCAGGAGGGTGATTTCTTGAAGAAAAGTTCATATATACCAATGTTCTAAACGACTTGTTTTCGAGATACGGGGTGTTAAGTTTTAAAAATATTGAGTTAGGCAACTCTTCTTGGCTCTCATCCCTCGGGTTCCAGAATTAAATGCCTTGGATTTTTTCTCTGGAGTCGTTTTAAATCCTTAATTTATGCTACCCCAATATTGAAAAATATTGAAGTTTCTGAAGAATCGTATCATGAAACAATCCAATATTTTTTTATATTTGCCAATCAATGAGAAACAGATTTATCCATCATAACTGGAGATGATTATTTCTAATAGTTCCTATAATTTAATTTAATTTAATTTAATTCTAATATTTAATTTTATTTAATTTAATATTTAATATTATTTTTGTCAAAATTCAATTTCTGAAATCTCATTTTTGTAAATCAAAAACTATGATGTATAAATCTTTTTTCCGCAAATTATCCAAGACATCACCCCCGAAATTTTTCGCGTAATACTCTGTATAAATGCGTGTTGCATACGTCAAAAACAACAGACGTCTTCTTACGT